ATGATTAATAGTATAGTTTTGATACAAAGCTATAATTAAATTATAGTTATAATTAAATTATATATAATAACAAAAACGACAGAAAGTGCGAAGTATATAAATAATATAAATTTCTAAAGAAGTTAAGTATTAATTAAGCGAATCGACTAACCGCATTTGAACATTCCTTGTCCTAAACTACTCTATACGTCTGATTGATTATCCTTTCTTTCCTGTGCTACATTATTCCTCACCGTTGTAGGAACGATCATAGCAGCCTCGATTCCTATCTTTCTCCGCTTCGTCCTGCTTCGCACAATCGCACTTGTTTTTCTCCTCGTTACGAGATAAAAGCTGGCGATTCTTCGGCACCGGAGTGTGTTGGATCATGGCAAAGATCGCCGGAGCTGAGCCACCCTCGGAACCGTCGATGTGAGTCGCTCTGCGAGGTTCATATACCGGGTCTATTGGCGTCTCCCAACAGATCGCCAAATCCATCCGAGTCTCCGGTTTCTTGCAGCCAAGCGCGGGTTCAAAGCGATTCTCTATTCTCGTTGCGAAATTTGCTCGATCCTGATTCCACTTCGCGTCCTGTTTGTAACTGGCCAAACAAGTGCGACATCCTTTCCTGAAGATGGAATCGTCCACTCGATCTGGGAGTGGCTGGGGCTGCAGATTCTCTGCGTGCAATCTTTTCGCCAAAACGAATTTGTCGATGCAGGCGGCAATCTCTAGAACAAAAAAATTCTTTTATGTTAGAGAATTATAAATTAGAGCTTATATAAATCATTATTAAGTATAAAGTAATTTATTAATATATTTCATTGCAATATTTATTTTTATAAAAATAAAAAAATAAATATTAAGTAAAAATCCCTTCTATGTACAATTTTAACATAATAATTAACGTAATAATAACATAATAATTAAACAATATATTAAAACAACATATTAAAACAATATACTAAAGTAATAAAATTGATGAGGAATATTTTAATAAAAAAAATTACAATAATTAATAAGATTTATATTTTTCAACATCTGAATGATATATTTTACTTTGTAAAGTAAAGAAATAAATTGCAAATTTAAGTAGTTTTTCAAAAATAAAGTCTTTGATTTCTGAAATTTTAAGATAATAAAATTTTTTAACCTTATATTCTTTTTCAACCTCTCAAAATACTTCACCACATTCAGATACTAAGATAGAAACTTTGTAAGATGAATTAATTAATAATGTTTAATTAATAATGTTAAATAATTATTTACATATATTTATTTTTAATTTATGAATTAATTTTTAAATAATAATTCTAAGCATTGCTGTAGATACAAAGAAACTTTGAGTCTATCGATGTTATGTTAAATCTTCTTCGATGGTCCTCCAAGAAAAAGAAAGAAAAGAAGAAAAAATTATCATACCATTCTTCCGTTCTTCTTCCTCGAAGGTCCGGGACTTGAAACATTCAGACGAGTGTTTTTCCGGAGAGAAGGTTGTCTGCTTTTCCAAGACATGCTGGGATCGGTAATGATCACAAGGGTTGTCGTTCTTATAACGGACGATCGATTTAGCGCGACAGCGAGCACAATGTTCGCGCAATTCCATATTCGCTCGCCAGCTGACTACTTGCCGCTTACTTATCACTTTACATAACGGACACGCGATTCATTATTAATGAATAGTTAAGAGGAACGAAGACGCGTCTCCGAGAAATATCTTTCAGTGGGAGAAGCTTGGAGGGAATCGCTGCTTGCTGCCGTTCTCCATTTTTGATCAAATCCGGAGAATATCTGAACACCACCATAGGAATGTCTCGATCGTGAAATACTTTTCTCCCACTCTCGACACCGGTTTCCCTGGCAACATGATAATTCGATAGCGAACTCGCTACAAATGCTTACAAATGCTTACGCATATCTATTGTGTAACCCATATTATGGTAACCCATATTAGTATTGTCATTATTATATTCTACTCTAATGTTTTGATCTCCTCTCTATGAGATGAGACTATCTTGATTTCGAACTCGGTCTCCGACTAATTTCGAAATTCTCGACTGATCACATCTTGGTCTTGGTCTTGAGTTCAGAGTAGTTGGTCTTGAATCGAAAATTTTTTTACGAATTATATTTTTACTACGGACAAATAAATTTCAATAAGCATTTGTTATTCACCGAAATACTCGAAGTTCGGCAACCTAGGTATCGATATAACTTTTTTTCTACAGTGGAAATGTGAAAAGTGAAAATTTTTATGAACGTATACACATATACAATAAATTTTCATGTTTCCATCCTAAGAAAAAGTTACATGATCGATATCCTAGCGCTTAAAAACAACTGATATTCGCGAACTTCTCCGTTTAGTAGATTAGATTAGTAGAAGGTGTGAGGATTGGCCCAGATTTTTAGTACGTGCGCGCGCGCGCATGTGTGTGTGTGTGTGTGTGTGTGTGTGTGTGTGTGTGTGTGTGTGTGTGGGTGGTGTGTGGAACACAATAAAAAAAATTTGATGTTCTGTACATCTAAGCGAATAGATTTAACGTAAAAATAATAATTCCAACACGGTATAATGCGATATAACATATATTATAAGCATATTTATAATATCAAAGTAGAGATTGTGATATACGTTAGTTTTAATTTAAATTATAAAAGACTCTAGAGAAGGTAAGGAGAGGAGGGGGGAATTAATAAATTATTATATAAAAAGAGAAAAATGCTTTTTAAATTTTTATTACGTTTACTACGCTTTTTTTTATTACGCTTACTAAATTTTTATTAAATTTTTATTACTTAATTACTTTTTTTTTATCATTCAAGTTTTGCAGAAATAAAAAAAAGAAGTACTTTAACATAATAATTTTGTCCATCTAGATTGCAAAAATATTACAATGTGAGCCGGCCACTCCCCGGTATCATAAAATTCACACTCCTGTCTCACATGAAAGTATCCGTTAATATTGACACGCTAATCCGAGTCTGAAGTTTCTTTAACTCAGATGCAAGCAATAAAATCGCAACATTGGGCTTTCCAACACGGGCGGACACAGACGAGGTACAACTCGCGAACGGCCAGACAGTCATGTTACCCGAACGTATGAGCATGCTTGTCGAAATTGGCGATCGCGTGTATTTGGCATAATGCTGACATTAAAAAACGCCGTTCTTATTGGCATTGATTTATAGGCAAAACTTGGCTACAGTCCCATAGCCAAGTACACTATCGTTGAATCTTCATCAATATCTTAGATTCAATCTTCAAGATGTTCTTGAAGATGTCTTAAAATAATTAATTACGCATGTATATTATACGACACTGAAGACCCGATGACCCGATAAGAATCGAAACGTTTGTATATTACATCTATTAGATTTCGATGAATTTTAATCGTTAACAACATCTGATTTGCGATTCGTAGTCTTGTATTAGAATTTTTTACTTGAGTCTTGGTTTTATATTATTGTTTTAATTTTAATAACTTTTCAATAATCAACGAGCGTCTATCAAAATTCTTCGACGTCACTCAGAGTCATTACCTTGATAATATCAACATTATCGAAGTTAAATTCCCTATTTTATTTTTAATAACTTTGTAACATGCGACTGCTACAAAGATGCTTTCGAAGATTATTCGGTGTGACGACCTTCATATGAGAGGATTAAGGTCATCGGAGATAAATTGTATTTTAATAACTTTAATTTTATATTTTAATACTTATATTATTATTATAATTTTAATACTTTTTAATACTTACATTATAATTTTAATACTTTTTAAAAATGCACGAGCGCCTGCCAAAATGCTTCGATGGTCACTCAGGATCTTGACAATATATGTCAAGGAGTTGAAATCCCTATTTCATTTTTAATACGAGTATATTCTCTTTATATAAAAAAGATACTAAACACTTTAAAAGCATGATATTAACACATAAATTTATCTTTTTGAAAGAGATAAAAAAGCGCTACAAATATATGTTAGACGAGGAAAAATTTTATTAAACTGAAAAGAATTTATAAGAAAATATTAAACACTATAAAATATGTGATATCAGTACAAAATTTATCCTTTTAAGAAAGGGTAGAAAAAGGCGCTAAAAATGCGTATTCTTCGTTATTTCGAAAAAAAATGTGTACTTAATTGATTATGAGAAATTACAAACTAACAAAAAACTAATAAATAAAGTTTTTTATAGACCTTTAATTGAAACAATTTAGAAAGAATATAAATGATAATATAAAGTACATACAAGCAATAGGAGTCAACGCTGATAATTAGCACAATTTTTCTTAATATTAAATATAAATCTTGATCTTGAATGTTTCCACTCATGGTTTGAATCATCAGCAACCTTTCTCCTTAATGATTGGAATATTGTATGTCACAAAATAATATCTCCAATGATTTTTCTCTCAAAAAATTGAACTGTTAACTGTTGTGAGGTAAGTCACATACTCACAAAGTTAGAAAGCTGAGTGGCAGTGAGAACTCAAGCTAAAATTATATAAATGATTAAATTATCGTATGTATAAAATTGAAAATTAATAATTATCTCACCTCACATAGTCGATGCTTCTACACTGAACAATAAATATCATATATCGTATGCAACATTTTGTACATCGTTAATATGTCAAAATTTTTAAATAATAACTTAGAGAACATTACATTTCTGAATCAACGTACAGACAACTTTATTGTAGCTGTGATAACATTCCTAGGGCTTACGCGTTGAAATGCATAAATTAAATTATCCATTCAAAATCATCATATCTTCTTTAGGTAGAACATTATATAATTTGGCAGCGTTCTTATATAGTTTGATTGTCAAAAATACACCTAAAGCTTCTAGCAATATCGAGAAATAATTTTGAATTAGTTCAGAAATTAAAAAACATTAAAATTAATCATGGTTTTAGTTTGGTGTCATTGGATATAATATTTTACTAACATTCCAAATCTAGCATTAAACACTAGACTCTTTTTAATAGAGACTTTTTAATGAGACTTTATTTGCAAGAATTGCAATTTACCGAAAAATGAATTTCTCAAAGCTGTTCGCTTAGTATTGGATTCAACTTATTTTACTTTTGACAATTAATTTTATAAATGAACTTTTGAAACGCCTATGAGTTCACCGCTTGCTCAGATTGTTGCTAATTTAGTTATGATGGATTTGGAGAATTAGGTGTTGAGCAATATTCAATATCATATATCATTTTATTATAGATATGTGGACGATATATAGATTATTATATATATATA